GAGACCATAAAACTCCGACAAGAAAACATGGGGTTAAGCTCCTTTACATCAGTTTTGGCAGTAATTTTTTTTTTTTTTTTTTTGACACCAAAAGCAAAGAAAAAAAGTAAACAACAAACGCGACTACTTCTGCACAGCAAAGGAAACCATCAACAGAATGAAATGGCAACCTAGGTATTGGGGAAAAACATTTGCAAACCATATATTTGATAAAGGGCTAATATCCAAAATTACATAAAGAACTCATATAATTCAACAGCAAAACAAAACCACAAATAAACAAACAAACAAAAACAGGAACAAACACAAAAAATCTGATTTAAAAATGAGCAGAGGAACTGAGTAGACATTTTTCCAAAGGAAAATTACAAATGGCCAACAGGTGCATGAAAAAGTGCTTGATTCCCTCATCATCGGGGAAATGCAAAACAGAACCACAATCAGCTACCACCTGTGCCTCTTAGGACAGTTATCAACAGAAAGACGAGAGATAACATGCGTTGGCGAGGACATGGACAAGGGGAACCCATGTGTACTGCTGGTGAGAATGCAAATTGGTGCACCAGTATGAAAAACAGGAAGGTTCCCGAGAAGATTATAAATAGGTCTGTCATATAATCCAGCAACCCCACTTCTAGTTTATACATCTTTTAAAAAATATTTTTTTAATTGATTTCAGAGAGGAAGGGAGAGGGAGAGAGAGATAGAAACATCAATGATGAGAGAGAATCATTGATCGGCTGCCTCCTGCATGTCCCCCACTGGGGATCAAGTCCACAGCCTGGGCATATCCCCTTCACTGGAATTAAACCCAGGACCCTTTAGTCTGCAGGCTGAGGCTCTATCCACTCAGCAAAACCAGCTAGGGCTAGTTTATACATCTTTAGGAAATGAAGTCACTCCCTCTAAGAGATATCTGCATTCCCATGTTCATTATTCACAGTAGCCAAGATATGGAGACAACCTAACTGCCCATCAACAGATAAGTGGGTAAAGACTATATGTATAATATATGCATACATATAATTTACATATACGTGTATATATATAACAGAGTGTTATTCAGCCAGGAGAAAGACAGACATCCTGCCGTTTGCAACAACAAGGATGGACCTAGAAGGTGTTATGCTAAGTGAAATAAGTCAGAGGAAGATAAATACTGTATGATGTCACTATATTCAGAATTTAAAAATGCCAAATTCGTAGAAACAGCGATCAGAATGCGGTTACCAGGGTAGGGGGTCAGGGGGAAGGAAGAAGGGGAGATGGCAGCCACAGGGAATAAACTCCCAGTTATAAATGAGTGAGTTCTAGGGGTCTAATGTACACCATAGTGATTGTATTGAATAGTTAATATTAGACAGTTGACCCTTGGCCAATATGGATTTGAACATGGATTTGAAATTATAGATGGATTTTTTTCAATAAAGAATTTAAATGTCTTTGATGTTCTTAATAACATTTCTTTTCTCTAGCTTACTTATTTAAGAATAACGCATGCCTGGCCAGTGTGGCTCAATTCAGGAACCAAGAGGTCTCTGGTTTGAATCCCCTTCAGCGCATGTGCCCGGTTGTGGCTGGATCCCTAGTGTGGGGTGTGCAGGAGGCAGCCGATGGATGATGCTCCTGTCTCATTGATGTTTCTATCTCTCTATCCCTCTCCCTTCCTCTCTTTCTAAAAATCAATTAAAAAATACTTAAGGAATAACGCATATCATCCACATAACACACAACATATGTGTTAATCAATTATTTGTTATCAGTAAGGCTTCTGGTCAACAGTAGGCTATTAGTAGTTGGATTTTGGAGGAATAAAAATCTACATACAGATTTTGACCCCACGGGGGTTGGGGGGCTTCAGTGTCCCTAACCCCCACATGTTCGAGTCACCTGTGTCATGTACAGAAAGGGGGAGAGCGCAGACCACACGGGCAAAGGCCTGGGATGAGACATAGAGCGCTCTCACTCAGCAGTGGAACCAGACGGTGCAACTAGGAAATGGGTAACACACATGAACAAACACGTCACTGAAGAATACATACAGATGACAAACAGGCACGTGAACATGTGTTCCATGTCATGAGTCAGTAAGGAAATGCACGTTCACACCACAGTAAGAGACAGTTACACGTCTGTCGGAAGGGCTAAATCAAATGATGGTGGCAACATGGCACGTCGCAAGGCCGTGAGGTTGAATCACTCGCACGTTGTTGAGGGATGCAAAATACACATAAGTTACCGCGTGTGTGAATGTTCATAGTAGCCCCAAACCGGAAACCCCAATGTTCTTCAACAGATGAAATGGCTAAGTCACTGGCCCATCCACTCCATGGAGCACCGGTCAGCCACAGAAGGAGCAAGCTACCAACCACTCCCAGCAGCTGAGACAGGTCAGCAGCAGCCACGGGCCAGGGCTGGGGTGGGCTGTGGGCTGTGGGCTGTGGTGCCAGGGGCCGGGCGAGGGTGGGCTGTGGGCTGTGGGTGCCAGGGGCCGGGCGGGGGTGGCTGTGGCTGTCCAGGGCCGGGCGGGGGTGGGCTGTGGCTGCCGGGGGGCCGGGGCTGGGGTGGGCTGTGGGCTGTGGCTACCAGGGGCTGGGAGGGGGTGAGCTGTGGCTGCCTGGGGCCGGGCGGGGGTGGGCTGTGGGCTGTGGGTGCCAGGGGCCGGGCGTGGGTGGCTGTGGCTGTCCAGGGCCGGGCGAGGGTGGGCTGTGGGCTGTGGCTGCCAGGGGCTGGGAGGGGGTGAGCTGTGGCTGCCTGGGGCCGGGCGGGGGTGGCTGTGGCTGAAGAGGGAGAGCTGGTGGTGACAGAGCAGTCCTGCACCTTGATTGTGACAGCGGTTACACAGACCTGCACAGGCGCTTGCACACACGCACATACACACGAGCAGATGTCACCAACATCACCTTCCCTGCTGTGATGTTACTGTAGGTAGCTGTGCAGGGTGGCACCACTGGGGGAACAGGGAAGGGTGCATGCTAGATCTCTGGGGTTTTTTGTTTGTTATTTTATTTAAAAAAATTTTTTTTATTGATTTCAGAGAAGAAGGGAGAAAGAGAGATAGAAACATCAGTGATGAGAGAGAATCACTGATCAGCTGGGGATCAAGCCAGCATGTGTCCTGACCCGGAATCAAACTGTGACCTCCTGGTTCAACCACTGAGCCACGCGGTTTGTTTCTAACCAGCTCCCGGTGGAGCTGTCACTCTGGGCAGTGACTGCAGAGGCGGAGGGAGGCCTTTCAGCCGAGCAGCTGGAGCCCTGGGGGCCCCGGGCCTGTGCTGGGCTGAACAAAGGAGGGACAGGGGCCCAGAGTCATGTCTGGGTCCCCAGGCATCAGAACCCCCAGAGCAGCGTGTCCGCGGGCCCCGGGGGGGAGGGTGCAGGTGTGTGCTCGTGTCCCTGGAGGAGCAGAGCACCTATGACTGTGCTCAGAGAGGCAGGGACCTGGTCGCTGGGGCTACTGTGATCCCCTTCCACCCCACCCCACTCCCGGGCCAGAAGTGCAGCACTTGAGGCTTGAGGGCTTAGTGACGGGGACCACGGGGAGAAGGTAGTCATGCTCAGGGCAGGGGCCGAGGGGAGGCCTGACAGATGAGGAAGGCAGTGGGGTCTCGGAGCAGGTTCCAGCCCTCAGCCACCCAGAGCTGTGTGCTCAGGGTCCCAGCCCCGGCCAGAGCAGCCCCAGCCAGGGCAAGCGGCAGGGGAGGAGAGACAGGAGGGAAGTGGGGCCAGGTGCCTGGCTGGCTGGCTGTGGCACAAAAATGGGGCGCGGGCTGTTTGGCCGGGTTTAATGGGCTTGTTGTCCCTGCCCTGGCAGCCTGCTTTCAGATGTGGTGCCCACACCTCCCATAACCAGGTCCCAAGCCCCAGGGACGCTGAGCATTGGGGGCCTGACCCCAGCCCCCAGCAGCCCTTTCCAGCTCCTGCCTTAGGCGGGGCCTGTGCTCACGCAGGACCAGTCCTGGGCAGCACCCTCCCTGAGGGCGCAGGGCTCCTCACCTGTTTGTCCACACCAGCTCTGGGAAGGCTCCTATGGTGCCTTGGGGGTTCCCAGCCTACTACCCCAACTCTGCTTCCACAGCTGGACAGCTGGCCGCCGCCATGGACTTCCCGCCCCACCTGGGCAGCAGCACAGGGGGGGCTGGACCAGTGCTACCAGCAGGGTTACCCACACTTGCTGTGTGACCCCAGGAAGAGCACTGGCCCTCTCTGGGCCGCATGCAATGCTCCAGGGACTCTTGGACTTGATCCCTGGGCTTTTCCCAGGCAGGGAGCCGCGCCTGGGGGCGTGGAGGGGGCGGTCCGTGCTGCCGGCGTGTAAACAGCTTCCGGCCCCGCCCCCGGGCGCACGTGACCTCAGGTGGCGGGGCGGGCGAGTGGCACTTAGTCACCGGCCGCCGCCGGTGCGCACCGCTCCGCCCGCCCTCGCGGCTTCCTCGCCAGCAGCTCTGCGCGCCCGCCCGATTCTCCCGGTGAGCGCGGTCCGCCGCACCCGCACCCCGCACCCCGGACTCCGGACCCGCACACCGCACCCCGGACCCGGGACCCGCACCCCGCACCCCAGACCCGCACTCCGGACTCCGCACCCCGGGCCCGCACCCCGGACTCCGCATCCCGGACCCGCACCCGGACTCCGCATCCCGGACCCCGGACCCGCACCCCGGCCCTTCCTCCCGAGCGGACGCCGCGCGGCCGGGCCTCCTCCAGGCAGGCCGCTCTGGTTGCCCGCCCGGCTCCGGGGATTTGAAGACCGGTCCTTCCCGGAAGCCCCGGGCGTGCGGCTCCGAACCCAGCGGTGCCCGTCGGACTCCAACCTCCTGCCCCCCGGAAACTTTTGGGAAGTCCCCCCAGACGTAGCCTGGACTTCGGGCGGCTCCCGACCTGGGACCTGAGCCCCGGCCCCGGCAGATTCCGGCCCGGCCCGCCCTCCGCCCGCCGGCCCCGCGCCGCCCGCCGCGCTGCTCCCCAGCCCCCCGCTCCCCGCAGGCGCCTCTGGGCAGAGGAGGCGCCCCGAGGCCCCGCGGACCCCGCCGCCCGCGCCCAGGACCCGCCGCCCCCCGGCGGCGCCATGGCCTTCTCCCAGGTGCAGTGCCTGGACAACAGCCACGTCAACTGGCGCTCCAGCGAGTCCAAGCCCGAGTTCTTCTACAGCGAGGAGCAGCGCCTGGCGCTGGAGGCGCTGGTGGCGCGCGGCCCCGACGCCTTCTACGAGGTGCTGAGCCGGGAGAACATCCGCGACTTCCTCTCGGAGCTGGAGCTGCGCCGCATCCTGGACACCATCGAGGTGTACGACCCGGGCTCGCAGGACCCGCGGGAGGGCTGGGGGCCCGAGGACCGCGGCGGGCGGGACCCTGAGGAGGCCAGCGGGGCGGGGGGCGCCCGCACCGAGGCGGAGCCGCCGCCCTCCCTGGAGTACTGGCCCCAGAAGTCCGACCGCTCCATCCCGCAGCTGGACCTGGGCTGGCCCGACACCATCGCCTACCGCGGCGTGACGCGGGCCAGCGTGTACATGCAGCCGCCGCTGGACGGCCAGGCCCACATCAAAGAGGTGGTGCGCAAGATGATCAGCCAGGCCCAGAAGGTGAGCGGCCGGCGGAGACCGCACCCCCACGGCGACACTCCGCCGGGAGGGAGAGGCCTGGCCCAGTGTGCCCTGGCGCGAACACTCCGCCGGGAGGGGAGAGGCCTGGCCCAGTGTGCCCTGGCGCGAACACTCCACCGGGAGGGGAGAGGCATGGCCCTGGGTGCCCTGGCCGCCCTGCTCCGTGGGGCTTCGGGTCTGAGCAGAGGGACAGGCGCCGTGTGCTCTAGCAGGGTGTCACGGCCTTGGTGCGTTTTGGGGTTGTTTCTGACTTCCAGAGGCCGGGTGAGCGGGTTCCCCAGAAGAAGGTGCTGCAGTGGGGTGGGGTGGGGGGAGTGTGAGTTCTCTCATGTCCCTGGGGACTGCCCGACTCCGCCCTGAGGTGCAGCTCTCACGCACCAGGAGCTCTCTGATGTTGCTTTTTTTTGGGGGGGGGGGGGTCGCCATGGAGACGAGAAGTTGCCTGAGCCTGTCTGAGGCTGCCTGGAGGTCTGAGTTCAAATGTGCCTGTTTCCGGGGTGTGCTGGGCCGCAGAGCCGGTCGCTCCACCTCTCCGAGCTTCTTCGTGAGCCTTGAACGGCAGCACCTCCCGCCCAGGATGTGAGGCCGGACAGCGTGGTCTTCGGGGTGGGAGCGGTGAGTTCCGCTGAGGGTGGTCCCCCAGGTTGAGTTTCTCCCCTGGAAGGGACCTCATTGTCTGGACCTCCCCTGGCAGACCTCTGCCATGCTGCGCAGTGGGGAGCCACACTCAGGTGACACGCTGACAGGTATTCTGGAAGGGACAGCCAGGCCATAGCTAGACAGCCATGACCTTGAACAGATGCTCCTCCCTGCCAGTGGAGGTGCCTTTTGCACGGTCTCAAAGCCCATCCTGACGGCTGATACAGCCTGCCGTGCTGGCTGTGCGAGAAGATCCTGAGGCCAGGCCCTGGCTCGTAGAGAGCGGGGAGCGATGGGGTCGCAGGCAGGTATTCCTAGTGGAATCTCACCCCTTCGCTGTGCCAGGCCCAGAAGGGGCAGCCAATGGCCCGAGACCTGAACCTTGGCCGTGGGGGCCAGACAGGCCTGAGGAGTCTTCCTCAAAACACCGGAAGTGGGTCAGGAGTTGAGGAGCCGCAGCTTAGGCTTCCAGGAGCGGAGGTCTGTCTCCCGAGGGGCTGGCGGGCCGATGGCCTGTGCCGAGCCGGCTCTCAGCCTGTCCGGCAGCACGGGGCTTGGGGTCTCTGGTCTGTAAATGGAGGTGGCGAGGATAAAAGCCGCGTCTCTGGCTGTTGTGAGGGTAGAATTGGGTGCTGGGCATGAGGAAGAGGAGAAGGGGCTTTCATAGTTTCCAGCCCAGATGACCTGCCCCCCACCTGCTGTGGGAATAGGAGATGCTGCTGACTTGAGGTCATGAAACCCAGTTCCCTGGAGGGCCTATTGGACCTATTACCTGGCTCCACCCCCTTTATAAAATGGGGGAACTGAGGCCAAGAAAACAACCTGCTCTGTCAGGGTTCTCCCTCCTTTATCCCTCCTCCCCACGGGAGGAGGAAGGAGGCAGACACCGGATCCCAGCTTGGCCTGGGAACAGCCAGCGTCTAATCTCCCCCAGACAGAAAGACAGGCGGCCTGGCTCAGCGATGGGGCCAGATAGGGGCGCCTGGGGCTAGGCTGGGCACTCAGGGTGGCCTCCCCACGTCTCTGTGGCCAGGGCCGAGACCCAGCCACTCCATTTCATCCCAGGGGTCCTCCCATAATTTTACTTGCTCCCCATAAAAGCCCTACAAGGTGATGGGCTCACCTGTCTCAGGTGACATAACCAGGAACAAGTCCATCTCGAGTTGAAACCCTGATCTGTTGGCCCCACAGTCGTGCTCTCCTCCAGCCTCCGCCAGGCAGGCATCGCCCTGCTTTCACCCCCTGAGGACGAAGGGCTCAGGCTGAGCCAGGCAGCAGGGAGCCTCGCCAGCCCAGCAGGGGGGATCTGAGGCAGCAGAGGCCACGCCCCTTGCCCTTCAGAGGAAACGGAGAGAGAAGACCGGGCTGGTTCTCGCCCACAGCACCAAGCTGCTGTCCGGCCCACCTGCTTTCCGGTCACGTCTATCCTGGCCCCGAGGCTGGTGTGATGTGTACAAGCCATCTGTAACAACAGCAGCTGCTGCTTAGCGAGCGTCAGGCACTTCATGATCTCGGGTAGTGGACCTGCCCCGTTTTCCAGATGTAGAAACTGAGGCCTGGCTGCTTGGTCCCTCCAGGGTCACCTAGCTAGTTCTTGGGTGGAGGGCGGGGACCAGGCCCGTATTGTGCTCAGACTCGAGGACCGGTCCCCTGCCCATCCTGCCTGGCGCTGGCAGGGCAGGGCGGGCGCTCAGCGAGCCTCCCATTCCCCTGCCCCTGCTCTGGCTGCTTCCCAGCTCCCAGGGCTGGGCCGTGACACCGACGGATGCTGACAAATGCTGACCGAGCCCTACCTGGCCGTCTCTCTTCCCATGAGTCACTTCTTTTCCCCTCACCCCGAATCCGCTCACCCCGGCTACCACAGCAAGAACACCCCCTCCCAGGCCAGGAGTGGGGATCCCTGAGCTGTCGTCAGCATGACAGGCAGGCCGTGGGCAGCTGGGAGACTGTTCCTGCCAGGGCTACCTCAGGCCCCCTTTCCCAAAGACTAGAACTAACAGGCACGGTGTACGAAGCCGAGTGCTGTGCCTCCACCGCTGTGTCCCCGCTGGGCCCGGGCACAAGCCCAAGCTTCTCTCTCAGCCCCAGCCATCCCATCTGTAAAATGGGTTAGTCCTTGAAGACTGCTACGGACGCCTGCTGCCCTGGTTCCACACTCCTGGGGAGCCCGGGCCAGGCTGGGCGGGGATGTGGCCTTGGCCTCAGAGGGCCGCTGGCTGTGTCTGTGGTTCTGAGCGCTTGCTCTCTGACACCTCCCGGCCCCACTGGGCTCCAGCTTTCTGAGGTGAGAGGTCATCTGCCTGCCGCCCCCGCCCCCGCCCCCGCCCCCGCCCCGGGGAAACTGCTGTGGGGTTCAGCTGCATGCCAGGGGCCCGCGACAGCCTCAGAGAAGGGAGAGGCTGGACTGGCAGGCGGGTGGTGTGCTACTCCCTCCCTCCGCCACATGGGGCCGGAGCCCCTAGGCTGACCTCCTGGGGGAGGCCCCAGGGGGGGGTGAGTCACACACACCTGAGAAACTGAGGGGAACGAGCGGCCAGGCAGCCTACATGCGATTTCACACCAGCCAGGCAGGGCTCGGGAACAGACCCAGAGAAGTTAGGTTTCTGCCGATGCCACCCGGCAGGAAGGGGCAGGAGCCAGGTCGCGTGGTGCCTGGCCAAGCCCACGTCTTTCCTCTCCGGCCTGCCGCCACTCACTGGTTCTGACCGATGGTTACCTCCAGGAGAATGAAAGCACTTTAACGAGGCGTTTGTTAGACACCAGGTGTATGCCGGTGCTGTAATCCTCCCAGCAACTCCATAAACCAGGGATGCCGATGAGGAAACTGAGGCCTGACCTTGTACCCTGTCGGAGGTCACAGAGCTGGCACGGGCTGGGTGCAGAGCCCAGGTCACAGGCTTGGACCCTTCCCGGGAACAGTGCAGCCTCGCAGCTCCCAGCACACGGGACCGGTCTCCCTGTCCCGCAGGCTCCCACACACGCTCTCCGAGAGGGGCTGGCGAGGACAGGGTGACCGGGAGCCAGCGCCACGGCGGATCCCTGCGGACCAGAGGGCGAGCTCTCCCTGTCCCTGACCTAGGCCGCACCCCAGAGGCCCCAGGAGGCCCAGCAGCCATCCCAGGGGCCCAGCAGGTCCAGGGAGCTGCCTTTTGGCAATTCCCAGCCCAGGGCCCAGCGGCCTTGCATCTTGAGAGTTTGGGGAGAGCCAGGAGGGCTCTGCCAGGAGGGAGGGCGGCCCTCAGTGCACACCTGCTCTTGCTGCAGGCAGCCTCAGACCTGCAGGCAGCCTCAGACCTGCAGCCTGCCCTCCCTTGACCCTGGGAGGCGGCCTGTCGTCACAGTCGTGTGCAGATGAGGATCTGGAGGCTCCCAGCAGGCCGGGGCCTGCCGCAGGTCGCGCCAGCTCCTTGGCATGGCCACCTGCTCTGGGCTCCACAGAGCCCCACTCCCCCTGGTTTGACAGGCTCACCCTGACACCGAGGCTCCGCCCTGGGCCAGCGGAGGGGCTGGTCCTCTCAGAGTCCCTGGCTCACCTGCCCAGCTCAGCGCGGCCTGGCTACATGACCTTGGGCCTCCTTTCTTCGTCTCGTACAATGCGAACTGGGCACTTGTCTTGAGGCAGTAACAGTGGTGAGTGCCCACAGGATGCGAGTGCAGGGCACAGCCAGCAGGCCTGGCCTGGGAGGGCTGTGCCAACCTCCTTTGTGGGGTCCCGGTGGCCCCAGGATCAGGCACCTTCCCAGTAAACACAGAGGAGAGGCTCCACCGTCCCGCAGCCCCGGCGCCAGCCCAGCGCTGCTGTGAGCCGTGCCCCAGACACCCCTCCACCCCGACCCCACTCCTGCCCCTTCAGTGCATGGCGAGGCGGCGCCTGCTGGGAGCTGTGGGGCTTGATGGAAGAGGGTTAGAGCACTTGGGGTATCTGCATGGAGCTGGCATCCCCCCCGCCTTTCCCCTCACCCCTCTCCTGAGAGCCCCCTCTCTGGGAGAAGGGCTGGGAAGTGGCGAGCTCCCCATCCTGCCCGAATTCAAGCAGCGATTGGGGGGGACGCAGCAGAGGGCGTGGCTCGCCTGCGGCCTGGGCAAGTCTTCTAGGCCCGTCTTCTGGGGGCTCGGGATGCTCACTGGGACTCGGGAGAAGCTGAGCTTTTAAAGGCTTTTGAATTTATGATTCTGAGATTTTCCAGTTTGAAAATCCTCCGTTTATGCCAGTCATTGCCAACGGTGGTGGTCTGTTGGGCAGGGAGCCTGGAGGACTGTGGGCCCTGAGGCTGGTGGAAGCGGGAGCAGCCTGTCCTCCTGTCCCGTCCCTTGCACAGCCTGGTCACCGGTGGCCTTTCCCGGCGCTGCTGGCGCAGCCCTGAGCCTGGCGAGGAGCTGGTGTGTCTGGGGAAGGCTGGGGCCTCGGGGCAGGCCTAGTCAGGGCTCTGGGCCGGACCAGCATGGGCTTCTTGACCTCATCCTGCTTCGGCCCAGGAGGCCGAGCCTTCTGTAATCGTTCCTCGTGAGGCTCTGTCTTAACCAGCAACGGGGAAGGTGCAGAGCTGGTACACGGTGGAGGGGTGATGCCCTCTGGGCGGTGCTCAAGGTCAGGGTTTATTTTAGGACCCAGGTGGCTCTGGGAGGCGGTGGGTGGAGTCACAACTGGCATCCACACAGGACCCCGCTGAGAGCCGACAGTGACTCCCTGCCCCTCTGGTCCTGGTGGGCACCAGTGTCAGGGGCCTGGCTGGCTCAGCATTCACTGCCATCACAGACGTGCTCCCTGCCTTCGGGCACGTGGGACTGAACTCTGTGCCAGGTCTTTCGAGCCAGAGGATATACAGACTGGTTTGGAGAGCACCTCAGTGCTTGAAGAACCTTCTGGCCTCAGACAGCATCTCATTTATCCTGCAGGCACCAGGGGAGGAGAGCGGGTCACGCACCGGGTCTGCCCCAGCCCCCTGCTGGAGGCGCCTGCAGGACAGCAGCAGAGCCCGTGGGAAGCGCCTGTCTGCTGGGAGCCTCAGCTCTGTCTGCAGGTCTGAGAAGGTCCTCACTTCACCTTTGCTTTGGAAGCTATTTTTGCCGGCAGGGAATCTAGGCTAGAGTTTCCCGATTAGGACCGTGGAGGTGTTGCTCCGGTGTCCTCTGGCTTGCGTCAGTTCTGAGGAGAAACCTGCTCTCCTTGTTCCACGTTGTGTAACGGCCTTGCCCCTCTGGCTGTTTGTGAGCTTGTCTCCTTGTTGCTGACTGTACGTATGTGGCTGTGATATGCCTTGGTGTCGTTTTCTTTATGTCTCTTCTGCTTGGAATTCATGGAACTTCCTAAACTCATGAATGTGTAGTTCTCATCAATGGGGAGTTATGGCCATTATTTTTCAATGTCTTTCTGCCTCACCCCCGCCCTCTGCCTGGGCACCTCGGTGACTTTACGCCCACAGATCACTGAAGCCCTGACCCCGTTTTCCACCTCCTTCTCTGTGTATTGTTTTGGACAATTTTATGGACATGTCTTCAAGTTCACTGTCTTTTCTCTATAATGTCTAATCTGCTATTAATCCCATCCCATGTATTTCTCATCTTAAATATTGAAGCGTTTCACCTCTTGAGGTTTAGTTTTGTGTTTTCAAACTACCTTCCATGTCTGTAAGTAACTTTTTAACATATAGAATACAGTCATCAGTGTTTCCATGTCCGTAGCTGCCAGTTCTAACATCTGTATCCATTCTGGGGTAGTTTAGATAGATTCTTTTTCTCATAAAGGTCATTGTTTTCCTGTTTAATTGTGTGTCTGGTGATTTCTTGCTGGATAGCAATTTTATGATGTGGAGGGCTGAAGTTTGACTTTTTTCCTTTCAGTATCTTGGAGCTTTGTTCTGGGGCTGCAGTGAAGTTGCTTGGAAACAAATTGATGCTTTTGAGGCTGGCTGCTGAGCTGTGCAGTCCGGGGTAGGAGCTGGATCAAGCCTGGCCTCCTGCCTGATTTTGTAAATAAGGGAGCACAGACACACATTCGCTCTGTGCGTCCTCGGCTGCTTCCTGTGTACCCGCGGAGCTGAGCGGCTATGTCAAAGGTCATGTGACTTGTAGGGGCTGAAATATTTACTATCTGGCCTTGACAGAAAAAGCCTCTGGGCTCATATGCCCACTCCTTAGGCAGCTCTGGGGACTGCCCTGCGGACTGCGTGTTGGAGGGTCTGCACCCTGGCCGAGGGGATGCGAACAGTCCCTGGGCCGTGTGAACTGCAGGGGATGCTTCCCGCCTGTCCCAGGAGGGGCCGTGGTCTGGAGGAATGGTCTCAGGCTGCTCTGACAGGAGGATGCAGGAAGCGGCTGTGCGCTGGCAGCGTTCACTGCACCTCCAGATGCCGCGGGGTGGCCTTGTCCTCACCTTCTGCAGCAGCTAAGGCACCGGCCTGAGGTCACTCATCTTCCCAGAAGGACTGTCTAGAACCCATGCTGCCGCCCAGGAAGGGCACAGGGAGTGGGGAGTGCCCTGCAGGGATGGCCTTGGGTGGCACATCAACCTTCCCCATCTCATAGATGAGGAGACTAAGACCGGAGAGGGACACTGCGCACCCAGTGCCATACCAGGGCCCAGCCCGAAGCTCCAGCCATTCACAGGCGAGCTTCGGAGCTGGGCCCAGGCCGCCTGCCCCTCTCACTGTGCGGTCTCAACAGACCTCGGGCAACAGAGTAGACCTCAGTCTGCGACCTCAGGCAGCGCCCTCCAGCCTCCCCTCTGTCTTGGCGGCTTTGGCCTGGCCTCGCCAGGGCCTCGTGGGGCTGGGGCTGGGGTTACAGGAGCCGAGGCGTTCCCCTCGAGGCAGGGCCGTCAGCTTTGTGCTCAAGCCTTGGTGTGGGAGCTGGAGGGACCGAGAGCCAGGCCAACACCCGCTGGTGGATGGCAGACAGGGCTCGGGAGGGACTGGGCTTGTCCCTCGCCACCCTCATTCCTGCAACCCAAGCCCTGAGCTCCCATTCTCAGCTGACAATAGCTCCCTGAGGGCCCTGGTCCACGCCCCACGCGGCCCAGCCCGGGGCTCTGCCCTCGATGAGCTCACTGTCGCAGGCAGTCTGGGCCTCCCAGATAGAGAGCCAGGCAAGGGATGAACCCCTTTGTGCCTCAGTTTCCTCATCTGCAAGATGGGTTTGCTGCGGCCCATGCCCTGAGGCTATGAGCACTGAACAGGTAGTGGTTGCCTTGGCCCAGGCCTGGAAGTAGCTGTGCTCCCTCGGGCAGAAGGGCTGGGGGGTGGGAGGCCCTGGGTGCTAGCTGAGCCTCTTGCTCCAGCTTTCCCATGTGAGAGCCCAGGGGCTGACTGAGTGAGCGGCGGGGCCCCCCTCCTCTCCCCAGCTTCAGTGGGCGCCTGTGACCAGCCCTCCTAGAGAGTCGGTGCTCACCGGTCACGGACTATTCTTGCATTCATTCAAGGAATGGGGAAAGTATTGACATACATCACAAGTGGTTTTATCACTTCCACCCAAACAGGGGTTAGTAAAGTTAATGGTTTCAGGACATACGCATACGGATGCTGTGAGGGCCCGTGGTGGGACCAGCCCTGCAGCAGACGGCCCTGGGTCAAGCCTCTGCCCGCCAGAGGGTGATGGGGGAAGGGCCAACGCGGAGCAGCCCTGCCACAGGGCAGGCCCCCATCTGCCAGCGGGCAGGGCCTGGAACCGAGCCTGGCCAGTCCGGTGGGTGCACCTCCCAGGGTGGCTCGGGAGCCTGTCTGCCTGCCGGAGCGGCTTGGGCTGAGGGGTCCTGGGCGAGGAGGGGGTCTGTGCCACCCCAGCCATCACACCGGAGGGTGACACCCAGGGCGGTGTGAGTCCACTCGGCCTGACCTCGTGCTCAGCACCCGCTCACCAGGTCACCGGGCGTGGAATTCCCTCCCTCTCCGGACCCCTGCCTAATTCTGTCAGAGGTGCTTCCCTGTCTGGTGCCAGTGTCTGCCTCCCTGCTCTCTCCGGCTGGTCCCGGCTGGTCCCGGCCAGACGTGACAGGACCGCTCTGGACTCAGACAGCGATGTCTCGCTGAGGACAGTGGCCAGGCCTCCGGCACAGGAGCCCTGCCATGTCAGCTGACTGTGCCCGCTCCCCCCGAGGTGCCGATGGGGAAGCTGGCCCTTTGCAGGCCGCTGAACAGCTCTGGGGTCGTGTCTGAGGAGGGCAGGGGCCCGAGTCCCAGGGGAGTTTACAGCCTACAGGGCCTCTGGTTTGCCCCCCGGAGGGTGCAGACTCACGGCCAGCGGCTGCGGCGGCCACCCTGTCCCCTGTGTCCACAGCCGGCGAGGCTCCCTGGCCGGCCGGCGAGGCCCAGCCTGTGCGCCGTGACCTGCCTCTCTGGGGAAGGCTCTTCTGAGGGCTCACCCTGAGGACGGGCAGCACGGCCAGCAGGTGCCCTGAATCCTGAGCTCCCCCTGCTGCCCAGTGGGGCAGGGGCGGGGGGTGAGAGACGGAGGCCGCCTCTGCCCACCACTGAGCCCACGGCCTGGTAGCCACCAGGCTTGTCCACGCCACCCTGTCCTTTCCCTGCACCTCTCCCCTCAGGCCTTGGGCGTGTCACTGACCACATTGGACTATGGCTAGGCTGGGGACGGGGAAGGTGCACCTTGACCTCTGGGCCAGGTCCAGGAAGGTGGAGGTCCAGAGTGTGGGCAGAGGGCGTCAGAGGACAGGAGAGCCCTGTGCCGGTGTGGCCGGCGAGGGTACCTGCCGAGCCTCACCCCCCGGGCCACGGTGTGACCTCAGTGAGCCTGTGCCAGCTGCTGCCCTGCCTCCTGGCTGTTCACGCCTGGGGTTCATCTCAGCACCTGGGGTGGCAGCTGGAGGGCAGCGGCGTGACCTGCAACCCCGGATCGGACTGAAACAGGCTCGGGAGCCCTGGCAACCGCAAGGAGAGGCCTCAGGACGCAGCTCCTTTCTGACTCAGGGCCTCAGGGAGCTGACCCCTCCGCTCTGTGTGCAGCACACACCTCTACCCCCACCCCATCCCATCCCCTCCCTTCCCCCACCCCCACCCCCATCGCCACCCTACCCCCACCCCCATCCCCCCCCCCCCCCACCCCCCCCCGGTTACTGAGCTTAGGGAGGCAGCAGGCATGCTGGACTCCTCTCCTGCCTGCGGTCTCGGAGTCCAGTCTGTGCCACCGATCGGGATGGAGCCTAGAATTTGGGGCCAGCTCGTCACGGCCCAGCCCCAGTCCTGAGGAGGGGGCGGGCAGAGCTGGATGGCACCGGAGAGGTGGCAGGCAGGGAGGGTGGTTTGTCTGGCAAGGCCCCGTCCCCACTGTCGTCCTGTCTGACGCCCTCTCCCTCCCCAGGTGGTAGCCGTGGTCATGGACATGTTCACCGACGTCGACATCTTCAAGGACCTGCTGGACGCCGGCTTCAAGAGGAAGGTGGCTGTGTACATCATCCTGGACGAGAGCAACGTCAAGTACTTCCTGCACATGTGCGAGCGCGCCCACATGCACCTGGGCCACCTCAAGGTGAGCTGGCGGGCCCCGGCGGCCGGCGTGTCCTCTCCATGCGGCGTGGCGTTCAGGACCCCGAGCTCCTGCGGGGCACCCGGCCTCGGCCGCATGCCCGCCCCCACAGCCAGACACGGCAGACACGACGAGGGCCGCTGGCCAGGTGCCAGAGCCACACAAGTTTGAGGTCTTTCTTAGTGGCCCGTGCCACGCCGGTGACCGGTGTGCCTGCAGCCCCCGGTGGCGCGCGCTCGGCCCCTGGCCCCGGCAGCTCGCGCCGCCTCTGGGGAGCCCGCCCGGAAGGCTTCCTGAGTGTAAGCCAAGGCCTGTCGCTGTAACGTCCGCCCACAGCTGTTGGATCTGGCGCCGACAGGAGGCTCCGGGGCCGAGGTCGGGGGAGGCTCCGGGGTAGCTGCGGGTTAGAGTGGACGGGAGGGAGGAGAGCGTGTGGAAAGGGCTCAGAGCGGGCGCCAGGGGCAGAGGAGGGAGGGGGCGGCCTGGGTGCTCAGCGCTGCCCGCTGTGTCCGTGAGCACGTACCTCCCCTCCGGCCAGGACCGCACTGGCCCGACGGAGCACCTGGCATTTGATGATCTGCTTGGGGTGGGGGAGCCCTCCCTTCACCCTGACACCACTTGGCACCACTGTGTGCAGCACACTCCCCAGAGTACAGATCGCCCAGTTGGTCCCACTTCACAGATGAGGAAATGGAGGCGGTTGCCTGGGGGTCACTGATAGCTAGAAGGTTAGAGGGCGGGAGGGGGCGGGGGGAGCACCAGAACCCTGGCTGGAGCAGCCTCGCCAGGTCAGGAGACCCGGGCTTCAGGCCTGCTGTCTGAACAAACCCCAGGAGAAGGGGAGGCGCCACGCTGGGTGACCAGGGCGGCACCTGCGCCTGTAATTTGTCAGCTTCTGTCAAGGACGCCCCGACCCCACGGGGCCTTTCAAGTGGCTGTGGCTCCCCCAGCGTGAGGCTCCGGCTGCCGAGCCGTTTTCATGTGGCTCTTTAGTGGGGTGACCCCAAGCCCCACGCTCACTCGCCACATGCCCGCCGTGTAATTAGCACGAGGGTTGGGTCCGGGGCAGACAGCTCACACTGGAGAGTCCAGGGCGCGGGGAGGGCCCTGTGGCCGGCGGATCAGAGACCCTCAGGGCTCGCTGCCCAGCCCCTCCCCCGCCAGGCCCCCGCGCCGGACGCCCCTCCTGCGCCAGTGTGTGCTCTCCACAGCCGCCGCCCCAGCCTGCACTCCCAGGGGAGGATGAGGCGGAGCCCCTGTCTGTGCTGAGCAGGCACCAGGCCTGGGCTGGCTGCTCCAGGGCCTCGCCCACCCAGTGCCCGCACTTCCCAGCAGGGAAGCCCCACTCTGGTCTCAGAGCGGAGCGTGTGAAGTGCCTGAGCTCCCAGCGGTGGGAGGCCAGGGGCTGGGCTGAGGACAGTCCCACCTCTGCCCCATCCTTCGCTCCCTGGTGCAGTGGGGGCCTTAGGATCCGCTGCAGCCCCACAGGCTGTGGGACCTGGAGTGCATGAGCCAGAGGGGCCTCGAGGCCGTCTATACCAGACTCCCACGGGACAGATGGGCAAACTGAGGCCTGTATTCCTGCAAGATGGGCTGAACCTAAAAGCTAGTAGTGAGAACGCAGTCTGGACAGGAGGGAGCACAGACCCCTGGTGCCCACGTCCCTGACGGGGGCTGCCCTTCCAGAGCGGCCTCCTTGGGACATGGCTCCACCTCCCCGAGCCTGCAGCCCTCACGACTGTGATGACGCCTCATAGAGTTGTTTGAGGATGAAGTCAGGGCTGTAAAGTGCTCTGTGAGCCGGGGGGAGAGGGGGCTGTGCAGGACTGGCAGCCACAGGACATCGGAACCACGGGCTTCCTCCCCACCCTGCTTGGAAACGGAGCTACAGCTGGGCACAGGGGAGGCAGCTCGCACTGGGCCCTGGGCCTGCCTGCCCTCGCCACGGCCGGCGCTAGGGAAGGCGGCAGGGTCTGCAGGGCACTGTGCTCAGAGCTCAGAGCTGGTGCCCTCATGGGAAGGAATGGGGACCTTGGCCTCCGAGCCGCCCCCTCTCAGCCTGGGCGGGCGGCTCGAGGCTCCGTGGGCCCAGCCCTGGCCAAGTGTCGCCTTGTCTGGGGCCTGCCCACACGGCCCACCTCCCTGCCCGCGGGCTGGCTGGGCCCGGACCTGTCTGGGGAGCACATCCTTTGCCAGTAATCCTGGGCTTGCCCTCGGCCGCCGTCCTCGCCGGCTGTGCTTCGACCTGCCCCAGATCCCAGGCCCAGGGTGAGGAGGCACGTGGCGGGCCGTCCTGTGACCGCGGCCCTGTCGGGTGCCAGTCCAGGGGAACCGGGCCTGAGCCCCAGCCCTGCCTCCTGCCCTGAACCTGGACAGAGGACCCTCCGAACGTCAGTGTCCCCGTCTGACAAGGGGAGCACGGCCCTGGGCTTGGCGGGGCTGCTGTGAAGAGGGAGGAGGCCGTCGGCAGGACGCTCGGGCTGCTTTTGGCCGGGGACAGGCACAGCTGCTCCCAGGACACGGCGGCTCAGATCCGAGGCCAGGGGCTTCCCTCCCCCGGAGCCATCGTGGCCGGGGCCAGCCTCGCGCTGCTCCAGGCAGCGCTCCCAGCCGCCCGCCTCCTGAGCTTTGGCCCCACCAGCACGTTCTGGGAACGCTGCTCTCCGGTTTCCGGTGCAGGAGGGGGCCGTGCGCTAGCACCTCCCACCAACGAGGTTCTCGGCCTTCCCGGGCCTGGCCCCGGCGGCCCAGCGGGCGGAGAGAGTGGGAACGGCGCCCAGGAACCAATGGGCATGAGCCTTCAGGAGAACACCAGCACGCCCCTCCCAGGGCTGGCCACGTGGCCAAACCACGTTTGGGGGTGAGACTGGGAGCCAAGGGATGTCCCAGCACGAGTGGGAGCCACATGGCCTCGAGGCTCCGAGCTGGGACAGGTGGGCTGGGGGATGCTGGCCCATCTGAAGGCTGGGCGGCTGGGTGCGGTCAGACTGGAAAAACCAGTAGCCGCCTGGGCAGAGGCTGGACCGTTTCTGATGAACAGAGAAATCCCAGCCACGGGGCCGTGGGAGGCAGGTCCACTGGTGCGGCTCCCTCTCTCCCGCTCGCTTCTCAGACCCTGGCCTGGTCTGTCATGGGCTCAGGGTGTGTCATGTATTTGGTGCTTCTCAGGCGAGGAGTTTGCCTGCGTGGGACATTAGCCGTGCCCGGGACACCGTCGATGGTCACGGCCGGAGCACGCTGGCGCCTGGGGTGAAGGCATGGCGCTGCTCGATGCCCTGCCATGCACAGACAGCCCCACGACAGAGTCCCCTGCCCAGTGCCGGCCACCGAGCTGAGCAGCGGCGACGGGGAGGAGCTGGCCAGGCACTGCTCGCTCCCCATCCCCAACCGTGGTGCCCGAAGGTGCTTCACCCCACGTCAGACAGCCAGGGAGGGCATGGTGTGCCCCCCTCACACTTGCAGAGAGAAACAGACCCTTCAGGAGAGAGCGGAGGCCGGCTGGGCTGGCTCAGTGGCTGAGCGTGGCCCGCGAACCAGGAGGTCACGGTCAGGGTGCGTGTCCAGGTTTTGGGCTCTGTCCCCAGGAGAGGCAGCTGATGTTTTTGTCTCCCCATGCCTCTCCCTTCCTTTCTCTAAAAGGCAATAACATATAATTTTAAAAAGAGCAGAGTGGATGCTGGCCAGGCCCCCAGCTCATGGGACACACCCTCGTCTCTGCTCCGCGCACCTGGCCGCATCGCTGTCCGGCTAGGCCTGGTCACAGCCTCCATGGCCTCCCCACTCCTCAGGCCCAGGCGGTGCCAGCAGGCCCCTCAGAGCGTGGCGGAATCACCGCGGTCCAGCCGGAGGCTCCTCGATCCAGGGCGGGTGCCCGCTGGGCGCTGTGGCGGGTCACCCTGGCTGTCTGGGACAGCCGGCAGCCTTGGCTCCCTGGAACCCGATACTTTCTGGTCCCTCGTGAGGGTCCCCCTGCTGTCCCCGCCCCTCTGCTTGGTGAAAGGGATCGCAAGGCTGTCACCTTGCATGTGTGGGGCGCCCGCTGGCCGCTGTGTCCTCGGCAGGGGTGCCACGGCTCAGAGACAATGCGGCTTTGTGGGAGCCTCCGCTGCTCCCCAAGCCCTGACTCCTGAGACATTACCTCATTTGGGCCAGGCCCCATGGGGTGGGCCCGCCCAGGAAGCAGGCCTGGGAGCTATAGGCAGGGTGTGGAGTGGCAGCTGCCATCACTGAGCTCCAGGCTGATGGGCCTTAGATTCGAGAACTGTCCCCAGCGTGCAGGCAGGGAACCAAGGCCCAGAGAGGGCCAGGGACCTGCTTAGGGTCACACAGCAAATCCGGTGCCTCTCGCACAGCCCAGCTGCTCGGAGATGCAGTGCTGAGCCGAGCCCTCGTTCCGCACAAGGCGGGTGGGTGGGGCAGGCCCCGAGGGCATCGAGGCGGTGGCAGGCCTTCCTGGGAGGAGGGGCTGAGGCCTGGCGCACAGAGCTGGGCCCGGAGCCCACGGGAGCCCACAGGAGCCGGGAGCTGGCTGTGGTTGGGCACAGGTGACAAGCAAGGCCTGTACCGTCTCCAGGATCTTTGCTCCCGATTTCTGGTCCTGAGCGTGCCCTGTGTTGGGTACAAAGTCACCAGCACTAATTGTCTTGGGCTGCGGCCAGCTTCCGGCTAAGGCTGGCGGCCGGCGGCCTGGGGCAGAGGAGCTGGCACAGAGGAGCCCTGCACAGAGGCTTATCTGTCTTCTGGGTTGGGTCCAACAATAAGACAACTGTTCGTGCCCTGGCCAGGTGGGGTCCATGAGACCTGCCCCTCCGCCCAAGCAGGGGGGTCTGAGAGGTGTCACCCCCAGAGGCCGAGGGCGGAGCGGAGCGGAGGGCAAACTCCAGTCTCAGACCCATCCCTTCTCTGTTGCCCTTGCCCGGACGCAGGCCCACCTCCCCTGCCCACAGCCCCTCCTTGCCCTCTGCCTCCGGCTCTTCGTTCATGCCATGCGGCCTCTGCTGGGTGCCAGCTAAGTCCTCGTGTGTCACCAGCCCGTGCTCCCATCTGCAATGCCAGCCCTGCCCCTGCCCTTCTTCCTGCCCTTCTCATGCCAGCCTGCAGCCCCTCACAGCTCCTTCTGCCCTGCCCTGCGGGTCCTCGTCCGTCTGTTCCGTCTGCAGCTGGGACCTCGCGGGGTTTGGTGAGCGTGAGGACGGGTGGGCAGTCACCACGCTGAGGCCGGTGCATGGGTGAGGGCGACATGAGTCGCAGGTGTGACAGCCCGGCACCCACAGCTGGCACGGAGCCCCCCTGGAGGCACCCGCCTCGCGGCCACACAGACCTACCTGGGCGGGTGTTGGACTCACTAGGGCTTGTGTGAACCAGGAAATTCCCAGCCTGACCACAGGCGCCTGAGGACGCTCCGGGGCCCAGGCCCGTGTCTCCAACACGCCGCCCTGGCGGTGCCTGCCCAGAGGAGCCCGGGTCTCCTTCCGGCCCCAGCCTTCCCTCAGCTCCAGTTCTCAGCTGGGCTCATCCTGCCCTCCTAGGCCCACCGCTGGCTTTCACAGCGGCCCCTCAGAGAGCTGCCTCCTCGGAGGGCCCAGGAGCCTGAGACCGGCACACACCCAGGCCCGAGGCCGTGGGCGGAGCCACAGACTCCAGGGAGGGTGGGGGGGCGGGGGGGGGGCACACAGCCTCCAGAGGGAGAGGCCACAGGCCGCACAGACCCCCCGGGGAGGCACCTTTATGGCCAGAGCCCAGAGATGGGCAGGAGTGGCCCAGCCGTGGACTTGGGCAGGAGGCACTGCTCCTGACTCCTGGGGACCCCTCTCCTCTGGCTGGGTCTCCCCTCCCCTCCTGTGGTCTCCCAGGGCCTCTGGCTTGCTCCTGAGCCAGACAGGGCCGCCGTGAGGGGTGGGACTGAACCAAGCGCGGAACTGCACCCGGTACAGGCGGTGCACGTGGGCGAGCGGGCACAGCGGCGACAGAGACGGCACGTGAGAGGCCAGGGAGAGGCTGGGAAGCCACAGCTCGGCCGGAGTGCCAGAGCCAGACCCTGGAGGGCAGGTCCCACCACCCCTTGTGCAGCCCCCGCTGCCATGGGGACCTTTCTGAAGTGCCCAGTCCCTCCTCTCAACCCTGCCCCCACCGGAGCCTGGGCAGCATTCCCCACACAGGGCTGCAGGCCGAGTCCTGCCCGGGCGTGCCCTCCGACACCTCAGGCCATGCCCCACCCTCCTCTCCAACTCATCCCAGCCCTTCCCCAGGCCTCAGCCTCCCCCCACCCCCCCCCCCCCCCCCAGCTCCTTCCCCAGGCCTCAGCCTCCCCCCCCACAGCTCCTTCCCCAGGCCTCAGCCTCCCCCCCCCAGCTCCTTCCCCAGGCCTCAGCCTCCCCCCCCCCCCAGCTCCTTCCCCAGGCCTCAGCCTCCCCCCCCAGCTCCTTCCCCAGGCCTCAGCCTCCCCCCCCCAGCTCCTGCCCCAGGCCTCAGCCTCCCCCCCCAGCTCCTGCCCCAGGCCTCAGCCTTCCCGCCCCAGAGCCCCTGGAGCCCAGGCAGAGATTGCTGGGCCTCCCTCAGCATGCGCAGCGCTGTGGTCATCTAATTCTGTCTCCTGTCCCCCCTAGAATCTCAGGGTACGGAGCAGCGGGGGAACAGAGTTCTTCACGAGGTCGGCCACCAAGTTCAAGGGCGCCCTGGCCCAGAAGTTCATGTTTGTGGATGGAGACCGGGCCGTCTGTGGCTCCTACAGGTGACTTCCGGCTTTCTCGGGTTGGGGAAGAGGTGGCTCTGGGTCCCAGCTGGCTCCTGCCCTTAATCCTGCCTTAGGGCACCTGGGCTGTTCCGGTTCATTGGCCCCCAAACTGCTGAGGTGTGAACTGGGCTGGGCACGCCCCACACCACCCTGCTCTGCAGAGAGGCAGGGAGGGCTTTGTCTGAGACTCCTCCAGCCCGGAGGTGGGGTGTGGCCGGCATGGGACACCGTGGCCCCGCTCTGCCAGCCCCACCGCAGGGACAGCAGGTGGTGCTGCCACGGCCACTCAGAGTGACAGCAGGGGGGGCCCACCAGCTCTGGGCCCCGGGAGCGGCCTTTGGGGTGCTGTAACCCCCGGAGGAGCCAGCTGGGAGAGGGCGTGGTGGCAGTGGCTTGCGCGAGGACCCAGGTCAGGTCCTCCGTCCCCTCTCTTACCGATCCTACCCTGGGCCCCTTGGGTAGGATCACCACCAAGTGGGTGCCGGTGCGGGGGCTGGGCTGGGGCGGCCCCGTGTGACCACGGCCGTCCTGCATTGCAGCTTCACCTGGTCGGCCGCCCGCACGGACCGCAACGTGATCTCGGTGCTGTCGGGCCAGGTGGTGGAGACGTTCGACCGGCAGTTCCAGGAGCTGTACCTCACCTCGCACGGCGTCAGCCTCAAGGGCATCCCCATGGAGAAGGAGCCGGAGCCCGAGCCCGTCCTGCTGCCCGCCGCGGTGCCCCTGGCGCCCTCCGGCACCGTGGCCAAGAAGCTCGTCAACCCCAAGTACGCGCTGGTCAAGGCCAAGAGCGCCGAGGAGATCGCCAAGGTGGCCTCGGAGAAGCAGGAGGCGAAGAGGCCGCCGGGGCTGCGCGGCCCAGGGCTGGCCGAGCAGCCGGGGGACCCGCCGGAGCCGGCCCTGCCCGTCCACCCGGGGCTGCTCCACCTGGAGCGCGCCAACATGTTCGAGTACCTGCCCACGTGGGTGGAGCCCGACCCCGAGCCGGGCAGCGACATCCTGGGCTACATCAACATCATCGACCCCAGCATCTGGAACCCCCAGCCCAGCCAGATCAACCGCATCAGGATCCGGGACACCTCCCAGGGGGGCGCCCAGCTGTGGAGGCAGAGCCAGGACGGCAGCCCCGCTCCGGAGCCCGGCGCGCCCCGCGACGGCCCCCCGGCCAAGAACGGCCTCCCCGAGGGCGACCCCTCGCCACAGCCCCCGGTGCCCAAGCCCCGGACGGTCCCGGTGGCAGAAGTGCTGGCCCGGGATGGCGGCAGTGCCGGCTGGGCCCCTGGCAGCCCGGAAGAGGAGGCGCTGCAGAACGGAACAGACCGCGGGCTGCCCAGGCCCCCGGCCCCGGGCCCCGCCCCACCCCGGCGGCAGCTGTCTGTGGCCCAGGGGGACCCTGGCGGCGAGTGTGTGGGGATCCCCAACGGCCTGGACCAGGAGGACGAGGAGGACGACGACGACTACGTGACCCTCAGCGACCAGGACAGCCTCTCGGGCAGCTCCGGCCGCGGCCGCGGCCCCCGCCGGCCCTCGGCGGCCTCCTCCTCCGTGTCGGATGAGTATTTCGAGGTGAGGGGGCACTCCACCCCTCTCCGGAGGCGCCACTCGGAGCAAGCAGCCAACGGGCCGGCCCAGCCCCCTCGCCGACAGCTGAGTGACCCCCACATGACCCGCGGGACCTTTGGGGAGCCCCTGTGTGGTCCGTGGGCCCCGGGTCGGGAGAGAGAAGAGGCAGGCGCCCTGCGGAGGATGCAGGCCTTCCGCTCGGTGGACAAGAGCGCACAGGTGGGTGAGGGTCTGACGGGCCCGGAGCCCCCTTCCCTGGGCCCTCGGGGGCTCCCGGTGGACGGGGTGGGGAGCGGCAGGACGCAGTGACAGCTGGAGACCTGGCCCCAGTCGCCCCAAAGGCAGCCTCTGCAGCACTGGCCTGAATGAGCCGAGTTTCACCAGGTGCTGCAGGAAGCCCGTGGCAAAGAGCATTCCTTTACACGCGTGGATCCCTTTGATTGTGGCCCCGGGACCACTCCCCCCACCCCCCCACCCCTGCAGGGAGCAGCTCATAGTCATCCTCTGCCACTCCTCCTGGTAACCTCTGCCGGCCCGGCCCTACCTGGGAACAGCACGCGGCTGATCATGCCCGGCATGATGATCAGGCCCATGGGCAGCATCTTGAGGTAGCTGGCCAGGATGGAGCCCGCTTTGGCGTGGTTCAAGTCCCGGGCAGACAGCGACCGCTGCACAATGACCTGGGGGCACATGGAGGCAGTGGATCCAGGGGCGGGCTTTCTCCTGGTGCGCCCGGGGCAGGGGGTGGGGGCCGCAGGGGGTGCTGTCCCACCCAGGCCAGACCCACTGAGACAGCCAGCGCCCAGGCTGGCACCTGGTGGCTCCCCAGGGCACAGCTCATCCCGAAGGGCCAAGGAGCTCATCCAGGGACTCCGCCCCCCATTGGGTGGGCAGGGAAAGTGGCTCCTGCCCAGCCTGCCATGCAGCCATTGGCAGGGCTGGAGAGCCCTGGAGGGATGGTACTGGGGGACTCCCCCAGCTCCTGCGCCCTCAGAGCGGCTGCATGTTCACGCCCGTGCCAGGAGCCTGGCAGCAACTGCTTTGTGTCGCTGGCCGAGGTCGGGGCTCAGACCTGGGGTTTGGGGAAGCTCCGTCAGTGGCCCTGGGCAGATCCTGGCTGAGCCTCGTCTCCAGTCTGCGGTGGGGGGGGGGGGGGGGGGGGGGGCTTCGAGGTCCTCCCAATTCGGACATTACGATTCTACTTCTTTAAAAAACACTTTTCAAAAACAGCTTTATCAAGCTATGAGTCTACCTACAGTTCAGCCGCAACGTGTACATTTCAGTGCTTTCTGTGTGTTCACAGCACCGTGCACTGTAACTTGTAAATGTAAGGGTTTCCCTTTGCTGCCTGCGTGTAAGTCACTAAGCACGGAGGAGCAGGGCCGTCTGAGCCGTCAGCAGCCTCAGGCACGGGCTGGTGTGTCGGATGCCCAGCTCTCCCTCCTGCACGGCTGGAGGCACAAGCCGGGGTGCCGAGTGGCAGCACGGGTGCGGGGCAGGCTGAGGTCGTCCCGCCTCACCAGCCTCTGGTGACTCGGGGACCTTCCTGCCTCACGGTGAGCCTCGGTTTCCCTGTCTGGACAGCGAGGAGGCTCTGTGGTCCCAGCCCACTGGTGCCCTGTGATGGATGCCACGAGCCTGGCACAGCGGCCGCCTGCGGAGGAGGCTGAGCTGGGCTGCTGCCTCCTGTGCGTCTGTCTGTTTCTAATCACAGCGTGTGGCCGTGATGTGGGTGGGCGAGGAGACAGAGAACAGTCCAAAGGAGGGAAGGAGAGGTGCCTGGTCCCAGCACACAGCTGCCACTGGCATTGCCGGAGTGGTTAGCCCTCCGGTGCCTGCAGAGCCCACAGGTGCTGGCTAGTGTGGGTCACAGCAGAGCAGGCCCGGGGAGGCCAGAGGAGGAGGGAGGTAAGGCTGGGCCGGCTGCGGGCCACCGATGCCGGTGGCGTCCGCCTCAGCCTCGCCGGGGAGCCCTCCCAGACGGGCCCATCAGCCCTGACCTCGAGGCCTGCCCTTGGCCTTCATGAGAACCTGAATGAGGTCGCCCAGACGTGCCCGCAGCGCCAGGCCTGGGCCGAGGGGAGGAAATGAGAGGTGCGGGTGCAGGGCACTGGCCGGCTCAGCCGGCCCTCACCCCAGGCGTGCCCTTGGCCCCCAGGAGAGCCGGACGACCTGCGCGAAGGCAGTGCTCCCCAGGCCCACTCTCAGCGAGGTGACGGGAGAATCTGGGGAAAGGGGCCTGACCTCCCGGGGCTTCTCCACGTCCGGCCCGGGCGGGGCTGTCAGCAGACACGCACCTGCTGCCGGGACGGGGACCCCTGAGCAGCCCCCGCTGGGCAGAGTCCCTCCCTGTGGGCGCAGCCGATCCTGCCCTCTGGGCCTCAGTGGTCCAGCCTGGGAGTGGGGCTCCGGGACCTCCCCCACGGGGGGCGGTCCACATTGGCCCCCGGAGAGCGCGGATGGCACTGGGGCCTGGCGCCTCCCTCCCAGGCCGGGCCCACGTGCCCGGTGCGACCGTGCGGCCACGGGGCTGCCCGCGAGGCCCGGCTGCCTCTCACCGCCTTTCCCCGCGGGCTGCCCGGGAAGCGGCGGTGGCGGCTGGGAGGTCGCCTGCAGGCTCCGCGGGCCGGCCCTGCGCCCGGAGCCAAGCTGTGGCCGCTTACGGGAGGGGGGGGGGGGGACGGGGCGGGGCAAGGCAGCGAGGAGCCGCACTTGCCGAATCGCAGCCACAAAAGGCGGTGATTCCCATGGACGCCTGGGAGCTGGGCCCCAGTGAGGAGACCCGCTGCCAGGCCACCAGCTGGGCGTGCGGGCGTGGGCGCGCCTCCATATCACCTGTCTCTTCTCTCCCCCCAGGACCACCTCCGCGGAGCCCCTGCCTCGGAGACCAGGGATAAAGACAGCTTCCCACGGCCACCGAGGACCCCAGGACCACGGCCCTACTGCCCCGCTGCCGAGGGCGCCTCTGCCCGGAAAGGGGGCTCCCACTGCTGGCCGGCCAAGGGCAGCCCCCTGCCCCACACACTGCCAGACCCCGGGGGCCCGCGGCTGGCCGCCAACGCGCGCCCCAGCCCCTTGGGGATCCCGTACTCCAAACTGTCCCAGTCGAAGCACCTGAAGGCCAGGCCGGGCGGCGGCCAGTGGGCCTCGTCCGATTCCAGACAGAGGGTGCCGGCCCCTCGGGACCTCAAGGACCCCTAGCCGGTCGCGCCCGGCTCCACGAGGGCCCGGCCGCGGGCTCCGGGCTGCACCGCGGGCAGCGGGCAGCGGGTGGGCCGCCAGAGCCCGGAAGGCAGGAAGCCGCAGGCGACGACGGGACCCCCACCTGGTCGGTGCACCAGTACCAGGTGGCCATGATGGTCAGCCCGAAGGTCATCCCTGTCCACGGGAGGTCCGCCGTGGAGGGGTCTCGGAACATGTGCATGGCATCCGCACGTGGCAGGTGGCAGGTCGTGTTGGCCACCGTCTTGGATGGTATGGCCTGGGCGTAGGCCGCTGCCAGCTGCTCATACCCGCCGATCTGGTCGAAAGCTGGGCGGGGCGGGGCGGGGCGGAAGGTTGGGGGCTGGTGGCCTGGCTCCCAGCCCCCACTGCCCGCACCTCACAGGACTTCCTGTGGGTCCAGCCGGCCTCCCACGTCACCTCCCCAGCGCCGGGCAGAGCACAGGGCGGGCTCTGCGGAGGCGATCCACGGCTGTTTTCTATGATTTAAATCCCATTAAATGAGCACTCGGCCCTGTGGCCTCTGAGGCTGGCTGGCTGTGGGCAAGGGCTTTAAACCCAATTCAGGAAGCAAAGTGCTTTTCTTAGCGTGTGAGGCCCGTCCGGGGAGTGGAGTTAGAGTCCACCCCGGGGCTTCGAAGGGGGCAGGGCGAGTGGCTGGCAGTGACCGGCCTGAGAAAGGAGCCCGGGCCCGGGGGCGGACCAGCGTGACAGGCCGCAGGGCCAGCAGCAGGCCTCCAGCCCAGACCACATTCACCCCTCACTGCCTCTGCCTCAGGGCCAGCCCTCCGGCCCAGCCAGGCCCCTGTGTCTGCAGCCACTCCCCTCCCCACGGGCCTGGCCACCCAGGCCTCGCCTGCAGTAGGGCCTCGGGTCTCCGGCCCCTGGTCTGAGAGGAAGCAGATACACAGACGCCTGGACACAGGAGAACCCAGGCCCTGCTCCCCGCCTTTCCCACGCGGGCCGTCTGCTGCCCAGACTCTGAGCGCAGCACCCTAGCCGCCGGGAGCCCAGGCCAGGCTGGACTGAGGGCTCGGAGCAAAGGGACACACACGACGCGAGAGGCAGAAGTTGCCACGGGATCGGGCGCCTGAGTCTGGGAGAGACTAAAGGCCCAGGCTGCCCTCTGTGGGGCCCGGCCCTGCTTGTCATCCAGGAGCGAGCGGTTCCCAGGGCCCAGGGCAGGTCTGCCTGCCTGCGCTCCCGCCTCACCCAGGCTCCCGGGGCTCGGACATGGCTCTTATCGATCGGAGCAGACACCGGGCAGGTCTGTGACCTCTGTGCGTCTGCACATCCACCCTGGGGCCTCGCCCTGGAGCCCTGAGCCAGCTCCGTCAGTGCCCTCACCTTTGACCGTCAGAATGACGGCCCCCACCACCATGATGAGCGTCTGCAGGGCGTCCGTGTAGATCACGGCGGCCAGGCCTCCTGCAGGGAGAGAGAGCTGGAGGGCCGGGTCCGAGGGAGCGGACCGGGACGCGGTCCCAGGGCTCCGGGCGGCTGCTGCCCCACATCCGGGCCCTGCCCTTTGCCGGGTGGAGAGGGTGAGCGGTGGGAGCAGGGAGCTGGGCAGCACAGCCGGGCTGCAGCTGTCCAGGGCTGCGGGCGGCCGTGGCCCTGCCCCTGCTCCCGCCTGTGGGCTCGGCTGGCCTCTCCGATTCGGGCACGGACGCCCAGCCCGCGGTCAGTTCCCCTCCCTCTCTCCAGAACGCCTGGCGCTGGCGCTGACCTGCGATGGTGTACAGGGCGGTGATGGCGAGCATGAGGATGGTGGACAGGTAGAAGTTCCAGCCCAGGCAGATGTGCACGAACAGAGCTCCCGCATACAGGTCGATCTGTGTGCGAGAGGCATCCGTGTAGAGGCCCCGCTGCAGCCCGCTCCCCATGTGGCCTCGACGCCCTGTGGGAGAGGAGGGACCCCCTGCCAGGGGCTGGGTGAGGGCGGAGTCCTGGCCGAGGCACCGTGTGCAGCAGGGACACGCGTTGGGGATAAAGTCCGGTGGCCCTCGCCCACCGGGAGCAAAGCTGCTATTGAACCTGGCCCCTGCGGGGTAAGGGCAGAGCCTGACCTGTGGCTCCCAGGGGGTCCTTGATGAGGAGGCCCCAGGAGGACTTCCTGGGGGAGGCCACAAAGCTAGCGGCCTCAGGAAGCGGGTGCACGTGCCTCTGTCCAGGGGGCCGCTGGGTGTACCCGCTCCGTCACCGGGGCCTCCAGAGCGGACCAGGTGGGCAGGGAAACGGCCGGCTGGCTTAATGCCCGGGGACTGGGGCTTAAGTCAGACTGTGTCAGGCCGAGGCTGGACTCAGGGCTGGGCCCACGGCCCTCCCATCCAGGCCCGTTTGGGGCAAGAACCCCTGCTCCAGGGTTCGCCCTGGACCGCCTCCCAGAGCTTGCCCGTCGCCCTGAGCAGGGGGCGTCCAGAAAGAGAAGGGCAGGGCCTGCCGGCTTCCAGGCTGCCATTCCTGCCGGCTAAGAGCGGAGACAACCAGGAACAGCCCTTGGGCTCAGCTGCGGAGAAGGCCGAGCCGGGCTGTGGCCAGTCTGCACAGCTGGAGGGCACAGCCCCCTGAGCTACCCCAGCACCTGGTTCGGCGGGGAGCCGCCAGCACGGCCGGGAGGGAGGCCTGCAGACGCTGGCTCCCGGGCCTTCGGGACAGCCCATGTTCCTGGCCTCCCCCAGGCTCCCCCTCACCTCCTTTTGGGAGGACCCCAGCTGTGCGGAGACTGACACGTGTGTGTGTGTGTGTGTGTGTGCGCGCGTGTGTGAACGCGTGTCTGTATGTGCGCATGTGCGTGCGATGAGGCATCTCCCTCCAGCTCCCGTGAGACAGAGGAGAGGCGGAGGCACAGGGAGGGAAGGGACTTAATAAGGTCAGACCCCGGGAAGTAGAGGGTGGCAGTGCCAGGCGGCAGACCCCGAGCCCTCCTCCGGCCACCACGGAAGACCCTCCCTGAACCCCAGCTGCCCTCAGCGCCGAGTCCTGGTCTGTGCCTGACCTCCGGCCACACGTCCCTGTAAGCACAGGTGGCGCGGCCACACCACCCAGCGCCAGCACGTGGCTGCCTCAGGCCTTGGCTCAACCAGTCCCTGCATCTCATCCTCCAAAGCCGCTCCCCGGCAGACCCAGGCCAGCTGCAACCGGTAGAAGCTCAGAGTCCTAAACCCAGAGCCGCAGGGACCTGGGTCTGTGTCCTTAGCCAACTGTCCCAGCTACAGGTTGCTCCACCCTAGCCTCTGGCTCTTATCTATGAAGTGAAGGGGGGAGGGGAGGCCGCAGGAGCACTCAGCTCCCCATCCCCTCTGGACCCCGCCGGCCACTCCCCCCGGTGCCTCTCTCCTGGGCCCAGGAGAGCAGATAGAGGCGAAGCCAGAACCCTGGGAGAAGATGCAGGGGCAGCAGCAGGGACAGGAGGCCCATAGGAGGGCACAGGCTAGCCAGGTCTGCTGGGCAGAGCCCTGGCCTCACTCGGGACCCGCTGGGGGGCTGCTCCGTGATCTGACCCCAAACTCACTCCTCGCCAACTGACCTTGCCACTTCTTCCCCAAATGGGAGGCCTGGTGGCGCCCACACGGAGCCGTCTGCCCACAGGGCTTCCCCTCTCCCCTCAGAAACCAGGCAGTGCCCGGGGCTGCCTGGCACTCCCACTCTGCCTGCACACACACACTGCTTTATTCTGAGAATCTCTAAGGCTGGGCTGTCCTCCCAGGGGGGTGTCCTGCCTGGTTCCACCACAAGGAGGCGCACTGGAGGGGAGCACGCTGCCCGGAGCCCTGCAGTCTCTCCAGGCGGGCCGTACTGCAGCCTTCGCGGGGCTGGCCCTGGGGCCCTGAGCTCCCAGGTCCCTAGAGCCAGCGGACCCCATTGTGGCACCATCTCCTGAGCTTGAAAAACACCCAGAGCCCAGGGCACTGAGGGACGGGGCGAGGCCCAGCGGCCAGAGGGGCTGTCCCACCGAGCTCCCCGCTGCTGGGCCGACCTTGTGCCCCTGCACGTGTGGCAGCAGAGAAGCTCATGGCGATTTCCCCCAGATTATCCGCTCCCACACTGGCCCATCTCACCGGGGCCATCACCATCCCTCAGGCCGCAGAGACCTCCCCTGTGCCACTCCCTGCACCAGACCCACCAGCCACAGCTGCAGGACAGTCCCACCGCCAACGCCCTTGTCACCTCCCACCTCAGGCCTCCCCTCTCCACCCTCCCCTGTCACCTCAGCGTCTCCCCTATCACCTCAACTTCCCTCCTCCGCCCCATCCCGTCACCTCAGCGCCCCCTCCCCACCCCCCCTCTGCAAAAGCCCCCGGGCAGCCCTGCCATCACCACTCCCGCTGCGGCCACATCTCCAGCCCCACCAGCTTCCCTCAGCTGCTGCGAACCCACGTTCTCATCTCCCGCCCGAGCCTGGTCCCACTCCCGCTCTCTCCCCACACGGCAGCCCAGCCTTCGCTGTTCTTGCCACACGTTTGCTGTTTATTGTGACTGCATTGGTCTGTGTGCTTATCTGTCTGGAACTAAGCTCTCGAGAGCCAGAACAGAGTCACCGCCGGGCTCAGCTGGGCCTGGCGCACCGCTGTGCACTGGCCCACCGGTGTCGTTCTCACTTCAGAGGCGATGGCCCTGGAACAACTTGGGTCTGGGGTCCTGCCTCCTGTGCCCCCTGGCACTTACCTCCAGTCCCTCGGTGCCTGCGGGGGTTGATTCCAGGACCCCACAGACACCATGTCCCTGACCCTCAAGTCCCTGATGTGCGCGGAGTAAGAAGAATCCATATGGTTGGCCTCCACATCCGTGGACCCCCAATCCTGGATGCAAAACCCAGGAAACGGAGAGCCAACGGCGAAGCTACTGGAAAAGTCACGCAGCAGAGGACTGCGCAGTTCAAACCCAGCTTGTTGGAGGCTCAACTAGTTTGCATGTGGCCTGCAAAGCCACAGTATTTACTACTGGCCCTTTGACAAAACAAACAGAGATAGCTGATCCCTGGCATATATTATCTCATTCATTCCCATGGAGTGGGACTGGGGATACATCACTGAACAAAGAGAGAAA